AATCTGATTTTACTCTGTTTGAGTTTGGCCCTAAACTCAACCCTTTTGGATTATTGGGTAAAACTCGTAGTAAATGTTGAAGCATAAATTCGACTTTTGCCAAAAAATCTTTAAATAGGCGAAAAACGTAACACGTAAAACTAGTGAAATTGATGAAAGGCACCGAATAAAAATAAATACGATGGTGTTTACTATCAAAATTTTATAATTTATTACTGTTCTGAGTTATTCTTTATAGATTTGAAGACTTACTATAAATGATATTTGTAAAAATAAACAATAAAAATAATATAGTTTATTTGAAAAAACAAACTCGATTAAATAGTTTGAAAATAATGGAATGGCAGTAATTCGAATACTTGTTGCTGGTGATAAAGGTTTTTAAAGTCATTTATAAATCCACCTACTTATGATCACATGAAGTTATTCAAATATCCAATCCTTCTCAGCATGGGTAACAAAAATCTCGGGCTATTAAGTTTGATTATTAGAATTAGTAACTAAAATTAACCTTTCAAAACCAATTCTGTCAAATTTGATAACCAATCAAAACCAATAAAAATTTAATCTGACACGTCCGTATATTCGTTTCTGTTATATAAACTAATGTTTTCAAATCTGATAATCTCTCAATACTGATACAAAACTGTCTACCATGCGCATCTGTTTTGAGCGGTTTGACTGAATAAGAGCTGCCACCCTCGATATGTCATTAATACAATTGGTATTCTCTATCAATTCTTAGATCAATATTTGCATCGAATAGAGTAGCTTTTCCATTTTTTCATCAGCATATGATATCCACTTTTTTATTAATAATTAAAAAGTGAAACATAATAATCGCCAATAACACTTAAATTATTGTCAATATTATGATTTTATTTTAACACAAGTTCTATTCTATAATGATTTGACACTTTTAAGTGATCTAAAACACACACCTATGAATATATTATCTCAAAAACAAGCTAATTAATCTGTGCAAGGTGTCTTAACACTAATATGAAAATTTTGTGTTGAGGATTTTTATATTCAAAACTTGGAAAATCCAAAAAAAAACATAATAAAAACATATAGGTGCAAAACCACCATAGGTGCGTTATATAATAAATTTTTTTTTTTTTATCTATAAAATACATCAGTCATATCGTTTTTATTTTATCACTATGATATATGTTAAAATCAGATAAAACACAGAACATAGTTATGATAAAATGTTTAGTCGGCATAACTAATTGGAATATGCTCAAATAACACTAGCCAATCAAGCCTATAGCAAAATTATCAGCTGGACATTCTATAAATAAATGGGCTGTGACTTTATTATTGCATTAAATTTGTTACATAAATACAAATATGCATACGGACATGTAAAGTTTTTTAAGTAAACCAATGAACTAATCAGAAACGAAACTATTGATGTAACTTTTGTATCACTTTGACTAAACACTAAATGACCTACGCTATTAAGGTTTGTACTTTTTAATGCACTCGTTCACAGAGATTTACACAGCGGAAACATTTTACAAGGAGATAATCTACATGAAGCATATATTACTGATCTTGGACTATCTAAAAAAATAAAAGAAGGGAAAATTTGTGGAATTTTACCGTACATTGCACCTGATGTTTTGGTGGGTCAACGGTATACTAAAGCATCTGATATTTACAGTCTTGGAGTTATCGCGGCAGAGTTTTCGACCGGACAAAGAGCATTTGATGGAATTCCGTTTAATAGAGACCTTGTATCAAAAATTATTGATGGATTAAGACCTAAATGTTTAGGACCTAATTGTTATATTAAATTAGTTATGAAATGCATGGATAAAGATTTTAACAAACGACCTACTACAACAGAAATTATTGAAATAATCACCCGATGGTTAGATGAAATGGATCAGGAAGAAGATAATGAAATCAAAAAACAATTTTTGGAAGCTAATAAAATTAAATCTGAACCTATTAAACAAAAGCATTCCCAGGACATGTATACTAGTAAACTATATGATACGAATAATTTCTCAGAATATATTAATAAGCCTTTTAGTATGTAAAAATCGAGAGCAAACTCTCAATTTTATACAGTATTTAAATTAAATTGTATAAATCATGCGCTTATGTAACTTATATTTAAAAGATACAATTATAGTAATTTTTTTAGTCATCAAAAATTTCTTCATCTCTAATTTCATATATTACAGAGATAAATATTTTCTTCTCACTTAATTTATATTCTCATTTGTATTTTTGTGTTTAGTTTCTTGGGAGTAAGAAATCTTTAAAATCAATTTTATCTTTTTTGGGAGCTTTATTTCAAATGTTTTTAATTGCATTTAATTTATAAAAATATAAAATTTGATTCTAAAAAATGACTGAGGATTACCAATATGCAAACAACTTAACAATGTATATTTTCATAAGAATACAATTTAGCCAACACAACTTTTTCTAATAATCGCTTTTACCAAAAATTTTCAAAAAACATTTTCCTAAGAAAAAATACTAACAGACTATAAGACACAAGAAGAGGGATCTTAGGACAGCAACTATAATTTAGAGATAGTTCTCATATGCATTTGCTGATTTTTTTCAGAGTTTGTCACTTACTGTTTTTACAGGCATGGCACTTGTCATTTAGAGATAGTTCTCATACACTATATGCTGACAAGTTTAGAGTTTATCACTCACTAAAAAGTCTTAGTATTGCACATGTTTCAGTGTGGATACAGTTAATTCTAGTAAAAGAAACTCACACTCTCTTATTTTGTATATACGTGATTTTTTCTCTCTTTACTCCACCTCTTAGCCACTCACACAAAAATTTAACAAAAAGTGGCATTCTAGCTTACCCTCTCCAAAAGATCAACAGTGTTTACACTTTCCATTTTTGTATGAACGAAGTAGGATATAAACATGAGATTGTTTTGGCAATAATGTTTCTACACCAAATAATGAACTAATTGGTGTTTAGGTTAATGAACTAACCTGAATTGGATAGTATAGTCAGAAGAAAATTTAAAGATAAATCTTAGCCTTACAATAGAGATATACAAGATTTTTAAATTTAGTATATAATTTTTACAAATATGCCTGGCACGGGCTATATCAGGTTAGCTAATACTTGTAATTTAGATGAATTTGAGGTAACTTGAATTAAAAATCATATTATCTCTATAAGTTAAATATTGTACCCTAATAAAGTATTGGCAAGATTGCTAAATTTAAAAAAAAAAAAGAATACAATTCAGTCTTGTATCTAAAATATTGAGAAGCATAATATCTAATTTTAGATCAAAAGTAATTATAATGCCCATTTGTTTTAAATTGACCTCCAAATACATTCTTAATAGTTACCAATCATACCAACCAATCCTAAAATACACCAGTACATTTTTATAAAATAATAAAATTACTTTATAGTTATTAGTAAAACTCCTATTAAACAAATGCATTCTCGAGATGTGTATACCAGCAAGCTATATGATATGAATAAATTTTCAGAATATATTAGTAAGCCTTTTAGTACATAGAAATTGAGAGCAAAATTATCAATTTTATATTTAAATTAAATTATATAATATGTATTTATAAACCTTATATTTAGAAAGATACAAATATAATATTTTTTTTTTTGGCTATCGAAAATTCTACAGTCACTTATCCTATTATATTACAGATATAAACATTTTCTTCTCATTTTATCTATAATTTTAAATTATACTTATTAATTGTATTTTGATGGTTTCTCTTGGAGTAAGAAATCATTAAAATTAATTTTATCTTTTTTTGAGTTTCTGTCTCAAGCATCTTTTGAATCTTTTATTTACTTTTAATATTATAAATTATAAATTTAAAAATAATAAGAATTACCAATATGTTATTCAACTTAATGATACAAATTTTAAAGAGAAGTCTTTTTAGCTTTGTATCAAAATTAAATATTGGAAAGTTATAATATAAAGGCATTTAATTATAGATCAAAAGATGTTAAATATGTATTCTTCTTTTTTTAAAAAAAATTAGTACCAGAATTCACTTGTAATAGTTGCCAACCATATCAACCAATTCTAGAACACCAATATTTCAAAAAACAGTAAATTTACTTATATTAATTATTAGGTAAAGCTAGTGCTCCTAAAGAGATAAGTAAATCAAATTAATTCTAATCTGAACTTTTTATGTTAACTAGAATCAAATTATTTAAATTATAAATTTATTATGTTATTAAATTTTATGAAATAATTCAATAAAGTAATACAGTAATATAAAAATACAATCTGATTTAATTCTGTTTGAGTTTAGGCCTAAACTCAGACCTTTCGAATTATTAGATAAAACCTTGAAATTTTATATTGGCAAAAGTTGAAGAATAAATTCGACTTTTGCCAAAAAAAATTAGAAAAGAAAAATGCAAACTGGTGAAACTAGTAAAATTAATGAAATCTTATAAAAGGCACTAGAATGAAATAAATTCAAATACTACTTACTATTAAAATTCTATAACAATCTTACAGTTTATAAGTTATTCTTTATTAATTTGTAAGACTTATTATAAAAAATTATATTTGTTTATAACAAAAAAATAAATAATAAAAATAAAAATTAATATATTTATTTGAAAAACAAAAGTTTGAAAATGGTGAAATACAAGTAGTTTGAATATTTCTTGCTGGTGATAAAGTTATTAAAGTCTTTAATAAATCTACCAACTTATGATCATATCAAGTTATTCAAATATCTAATCCTTTCCAACATGGCTAATAAAACTTTGGGCTATTAAGTTTGATTGTTAGAATTAAACTAAAATCGAACTTCTCAAAATTGATCCTGCCAAAATTAATAACTTTCAAAACTGGCAAAAATTAATTTATCATGTCTATATGCTATATAAATTAATGTTTTAAAATATGATAATCTCCAATATTGAAATAAAACCTGTTAACTATGCATATTGATTTTGGGAGGTTTAACTATATAAGACCTTAGTTAGAGTAATTTTTCTATTTTTTTATCAACAATAAATATCCACTTTTTAAATGAGAAACATAAACACTAATAACACTTGAATTATTACAATACCGAAATAAGAAATAATTTTATTTTAACACTAGTTCTATTCTATAATAGTTTGACACTTTTAAGTGATTGATATATTTTTTCAACTATAAATTATATTGATCATATCATTTATTTTATCACTATGACATATGTTAAAATCAATTTTATCATGTAATAAAATCCAAAACATAGTGATTATAAATATTATTACTAATTAGAATCTATCAGGCTGAATCGTATTAAGCAATACTAGCCAATCAAGTCAAATTATTAGCTGGACATTCTCTTAATAAATGGGTTGTGACTTTATTACTACATTGATGAATTTTGAATTTGTTACATTGTTACCTAGAAATTGTCTTCAATATCTTTATAACTATTGTACATACTACCACAGGATATTCAGGAATATTATAAACTTACCCCTGTTATTTTAATAGATATGCAATACATGTCCACAACTCGAAGAAGATCTTGATTGGCGTGGCATATAGTTGCTGCAGCAATAATCTCTTGAACTCTCCAAACCATCGATCACTAATAATTAAAAGATAATTGTCTTAATAATCTTTGTACTAACCCATATCCATATCATCATACATAGCACATTGTTACTATTATACACATCACCTTTAGTTACCAAACCAGTCCTGATATTGATGATTTGAAGCATAGGGACAACACATGCTGTGACATCAATAGTAGTCTCTAAAAAGGCCTATTGAACTACTGCATCGATGATCTTAACACCAAATTGGCCTCATTACTGCCACTATCTAAGTGAAAAGCTATATTCAGCCCATGTCATCCATGCAGATAAACGAGAAATAAACAAACTTAGAGCTTACACGAAATTATTATTTTAATTGTAATAGATCAAGGCTCATTGAAGATAAAGAGCCAAAGCATGCATATGAAATAGTGAAGGAATTGGTGTTAAAAAAAATGGAGGGATAAGTCATAAATAGATTGATAGTAATAGAATCATAGTCATCTATTGTAATTAATTATATAACCACATTAGATATTTAAAGGCTGTAAATTCACCTTAACTTAGTTTCTTTAGTCTTTGACACCCCTTTAATAACTATATATCTTCATATATATAGTTCTCTTAATAGATATAGCTTCGAATTCTTACTATTTTGTATCTGTGACTATCTTTGTATAGTCATACTCTTGTTTAAATAAACTGAATTTTGTGTCTCCATACACGATCCCATTGATTTGTTGTATATTATCACATGTGACTCATGATCTTTGAGTATTATTGTATAGTCATGTGTGACTTGTGACTGATTCTTATTACAATACTTTGTATCTTAATATACATTGTATTGTTAGCCTCTTTTGATAAAACCTTCATAACCTCTTACTAAGTTGTTCATATGACACTTTTTAGTCTTACCAAATCACAAAGTTATCTCTTCGTCTGTTAGATAGGTACAGGAAAATTTGCCTGCAAAAAGTTATATAATATTATCTTAAATTTTTTTTATAATAAATTGATTCGAATTTTTATTAAAATATATGCTTATGGATTATTATTATTTTTTTTTTGGTATTAAGGTAAGGCCTTGCTCATATCTTTATTGATAAAGACATAATTTGTATAATAACAAATAAATATAAATTATATGCAAGAATAAAAGCTCAGACTAAAAGCTTAACCTAAAAGCTAAACTAATTATCTGCGACCTAAACCTACTAGAGTGGTCAAGACTTACCTAGGTTTGAATTGTTAGGATTTGGTTAATAGGTGTATTATATTTGATCCACATAGTGAACCATGTATTGATTTTAAGGGTAGCTTGTCCTAGAGGAGGACAAGTATTGGTTTTGGAATGTAGTTAGTCAGCAGAGCTACAAGGACATCTGTAAGTATAATTAGTTTTGTTTCTTCTATTGATTGAGCGTAGAAAAGAATGTGGTAGAGTATTATAGTTGGAGTAAGAAGGAATTTGGTGAGATTTTTTCCAGTTAGAGAAGCCTTTAGCTGTTTTATATATGGCATCACAATGTTTTTCCATTGTATTTTTTGTTAGAGCGAGTAAAGGTGTAGTAAAACCAATGGCTGTTACATGTTCTGTTTCGAGTTGAAAACACAAGTCACAACCACTTTCCTGATGTTGTTCAAAAAACATATGAGCAGAAACAACATGGTCCTCGTCAGATTTATAGAATTGCTGAGTGTAATGTGACCACCAGTAATATATTTGTTTTGAGGTAATGTTTAATAGATCAAATTTTTTGCAAAGATATAATCGCAAATATGTGGAGTCATCTCCAAGTTTTCTTTTATTTCTTGTTTAACCTCTAATGGCATTGCAATATCAATATGCTTATCATGCATAAGATCATGTTGTAAATTTATTTTTGCTTCTGCTGCTAATAAGTCCACATGAATAGCTAGCTTGCCTTTACAATCAAACCGATTAATTCTTTTACGATTCGAATCTACATATTCACGTTTAATCTCATTACTTTGTGAACATACAAAGTAAGCATTACCAACACCATGGTAACGAGCTAAAAGATTTGGGGCTGTTGTATCACTACAAATGAATACATTAGGTATAAGTTTATTTATTCATTTATTATTATTTAATAACTTATACTTACGTCCAATTATAAACATCTGCCTTTTCGATTTCATCGACAATCAATTTAGCCATTAGTTTAATATTCATATCAGCAATGTTAAGTATTTCTTCTTCAAGTATAATGCGAAAATTAATATGAAGTTTATTATTATACTCTAAGCTATCAGTTATATAATCACTAATTTTTTTAAAAGAAATTTTTTTTATAGAAGTATCTTCAATATTGGTGCTGTCACTTTTAATGGTTCTCTTAGCGATCAAGCATTCAGAGCATGTTTTGTAAAGTTTGCCCTCAAGTACAAAGCTTTTACGGGATAGTGTACATGAACAAGAGGTGCAGAACATCGTATTTAGCAAGTCACAAGCAGTTTGGTTTTTACTAATGTTATTGCGCTATTAAATAATTTGATTAAGCAATAGGAAACTTTATTATGAAATATAATGAAATATTTGGCTTATGTTTGAGGGCAAGTATTTAATTTTTTTTTTTTATATTGATGTTTTGTTAAAGCAATTATTTATTCATTTTCTCTTTATATCAATTAAACTTTCAACTAATTACGACATTTGTTATGCTTATACTTTATTATGTCACTAAGTTCGTCATCAATTAGATAATAGAAAGACTTTCCTCTAATTAGCTGCGCACGCACTCAATCCAAAGAGTTATTCTTTATACAGATTGGAATTTTCAATAGTTAGTTGAATATTTTGTATGCGGCTAATGTACAATTTGTGCCGATTAGAAGGTACTTTCCTATTACCATCTACTTATTTCAATATATATATATATATATTGATTCGAATAATTACTCAAATCACTAATATTTAAATTATTAAAGATTACTATCAGAATCAGCAGATACAATTAATTTAAATAGGCTATTTACGATCTTAGATAAAAGGATAAAAATAAAGAATTTGAAAATCTATTATTTGTTACATATATAGGATTGAAGTATTATAACAATTCGCTTCAAAGTAAGTTGCAAACCTATTTTTTATAATTCGAAAATTTTTATTTTAATATTTTTAATTTGGTTAATATTTTGCGAGTATGATTATAAACTATTAAGCTATTTAAAGTTGATTTATAAAGCTATAAAATGGGTTATTTTTTTTTAAAAAAATACTTTCTCTTATGTAAATCGATTCATTTATAAATAAAATAATAATAATCATATTAGTTACTGTTTTAATATCTTATGAGTCTTCAAAATCTGATATTTAATAAGTGTAAAATTGAACATCTATTGTTTAACATCTTTATTAATTCAGCATGAGCCGACATGCATGCATGATACAGATCACATATCGGAAGTCATGTGAACGGAAAATCGATCCTGCGCCCTGGTGCTGTTACAACTATGGCTTGACTTTACTTTCAAGCCAGAATACAATAACCACGGAAGTTCTCAGTATATTAAAAATCAACCAGACAGAGTTTCAGTACAATTTACCAAATATCATGCATGTATACAAGAAAACAACGATTGTACTACTTATAGCACTTAAATAGTCAATCAAGGGTAAGTATTTTATTTATCTGGTATATGTGTATAAGAGTAGTAGAGAACAAATTTTATGTAAAGCACCAAGGGTTATAGAATGCAAAGAAATCAATTTATTATTATTTTTTTTTTGAATTATGAGGAATTCAACAGGTTAAGTAGTTAGGCATGGTTCATCAGCCTTCTTAGCCAAAAATTCTAGCCGGTATGGTATGTTGACTTTGCCTATAGGTGACTCAATCTTTTCAAAACTTATTGCTAGAATATTGTACGATCTTACAGTCACCACCAAAATGACAGTAGACATTCGGTCTTCCAGGACAACCCAATCTGGCACATTAGACAACTTATTAAAAGAGACATGTTTTATTTGGTGAGTGGGTAAATTGAAGCTTCGGTTGTCAATACCTCTGGGGTAAGAATACAAATTGAATAGGTTCACTACTATGCCACTTAGTAGTCGACCAATTGGTTAGTTTAATAAATGTGGGGGGTAACGAAGTACTTAATTATCAATCATGAACCAGGAATATCTTCCCTCAAGAGCAAGAAGCCTTTATTATATACTTTTTTGTAATTATACATTTTTTATGTACTATATTGATTATATTGGCTATAATGATTAAAACATCTATACTGATTATAATATATTAGTCTCTTATTTTCCCAATTTTCTCTTATTGCTTAGATAATGTTTATATTCATTAAAGCTCCAATAGCTCTTATAAGAGTAATAATACCAGAAACTTATTTATGGTAAGTAATCTTCACAGCCATTAAACTGTTTTTACATCACTGACCTTCACATGCTTCCAATTCAGTGGCTTACACCAGTACGATTACATAAAATGTGGAGGGATGGTTGCATTCAACCTTTTTGATATTCACTATACTGATTTTGAAAATTCCTTTTTTGGTAGTATCATGGTGAAAACCAGTGCCTACTGTACTTGCTAAAGGGGATCGACCTAAATCTCTAGAAACAGGATTTAATAGAATAACAATAAACACAATATGTATAAATGCATATAAATTATGTACTCATCTTTGGACTGAAATGAATAAGCTGTTGTATACACATGATTTATGTAATAAAGTAAGATCAATTGGAGGTATGTATAAATATTTGATCAAACCACGATCAATTATGCAATAGTTGGTGATACAAACTAGTTTATTGATGCAAGATAAGCTTTAAACATGTATAATAAGTCAGAAATATATAATTAATTTAAGAGTTAAATATCTATAATCGAATTATAATGTAATTGTTGAGTCAAATTAGACATATTAAAGCATAGCGAAAGTAATAATAAAAATGTTCATATTCTTTTATAACAAAAAGTAATCAAATATAAAGTAAATACTTATTTTGTAGATAAAATCCCAAATCACTTTAGGTGAAAGTTGATAGTGGTCAACTTCTGAGCTAGGTTATTTAGTGGTATAAGACATTAATTAACCTGTAACAGTAGGAATAATAATTTTATTTATTCATTTTTAGAAAGTGTTAAATTGCATAACTATGCCATTGCATAATTATGATGTAATTGCTTTATATCTGATATGTAATATATATGTATATGCAAAAATATAACTGTATGAAAATAATAGCAATAAGGCATTTGATTTTGAGATGGTCTACTAACACAGCATTTACATGATTTATTTTTCTTATCAGCATAGCAATTGATATTTCATTTTACCTGATCTAATAACATTATTGAGGCACAATAGCTAAAATAATAATATAAATTAATCATTGCACCTTTTGCTGTGTCAGTAGACTATCTTAATAATTTTTTTTTTGAATGGTCAACCATAAATTATTCAATAGCATTGGTCTTGTTATATGTATTCAAACTGTTAAAAAGCTGTGGTTGAATTATTATTACAACATTCTTGTGAGCATCTATATGATTGTCAAAGTTGTGATATTTTTGTTTATATTGTAATATTTTTTATTGTATATTTGTGATTGATCTATAAATTAATATTATTATATATTTGCAATTGAACTATGAATTAATAATTAATGCACAAACATTAAACATTGCAAATCAAGAAATAGAAACTACCAATATTATATTATAACTATAACATTTACAGTCATATATATGATAATAGTTCTATAGATTTTTTTTGCAGTACTTATTTTAAAAATCGACATTCATCTTAATTGTAAATTATTGAAATAGAAAGTAAGTTTGTAACTAACTTTTTCTATAGTAACACATGTTAATTCTAATATAATGTAACTGAAAACTTTATAGTAACTCATGGTATAAATTACAATAATACTTTTATATATCACTGGAATAGCAGATAAGTTTTATAAGAATATTTACAGTAACTCATTAAAGAATTGTAATAATTCTGATATAAACTAACTAGATTTTAACATATTATATGTGCTAGTGAGATGTTAAATAAGTTTTGAAACAAAATTTTTGCAGAAACTCATAATAGAAATCACGATAATTTGAATGCACATATATTGCCAACTATGATTAAATTATATATTCTATTGATATTTTTATTTATAGTTTTAAAGTACAACTATCTTATATAACTTGAATATTACTTGTGTGTGATGATTATACTGGTCCTGTGTAGCTATCTTATTATATATAATAATTTAATAATTGATCTGCATATATCTGAGCTATAAGGTTTAGTATATTTCACTTGGGCAGTTATATAGAGTTTGGAAACTGTAACACTGCAGAGAGAGTGACCTGGAACATCTGTAGTAGAGAATAATTAATTAGAAAGGTTGTGGTTTGAGATACTAATTGGGTTATAGCAGCAATTAAAAAGGTAGCTTGAGATACGAACTTAGTAATTGCAGTATAACAGTACTAGTTAGGAAGAAATTACCAATAATGTACTAAATTCTGTTGTACAAATAATATAGTTCTACTAATATGTAATAAAGAGGTAGTGGTATTAAAAAAAAAATAAAAATTTATTTTTTTGGGCCTTATCTCAATAATTACTCACTTAACTGCAACTGACCACAATTTGTAATCAACACTCCCTTTCTTTTAAAAGAATCTGGTCATTTTTATAATATCAATATCACATTCCAATAATGACAGCCAGTTTGCATTATACAATATTATATGTTTATACTAATGGCTAGCTAGCATTATACAGACAGAAAACTACTAGCTATTGCTAAGCAAATAAGCAACTACTTATAGTTATCTCTTGTCACATTATTATTGCAATTTCTGGAAGCATATCTTGTTTTAGTTTCAATAACACACTAATTACAAATAAATATACTTGCTATTTTCAGAATTATAACTACTAAATATCAATATCACATTACATGTTTATATTATAGCTGTTCTTATAAATTTTGGGATATTTAGTAAAAATTGACTAAATGATTGTTTGGCCAATTTAATAAGTTTTTGATTTTAGCTATAAACGATTGTATAATAATATACTCTTGCTAATAAGAGAAATGTATATTGATATTACTATTTTATTATTAGATTCAGTTACTATTACTTTAGTTAAAGTTGTATACATATTCAGATTTAACAATAGTTATTTTAGACAAGCTAGATATTTTAAATATTTACTATTCTTTAAATTGTCTTGCAGCTAAATTTGTCTGCAAATTTTTTTAAATTTTAAATTTTTCTAATAAAATTTTAAATATTAATTTAAGCTATATATTTCTAAGTAAAATATTTAATTTGAGATTTATTTTATTAGTTTTGTTAAGAAATTATTTTATTTTTTTTTGGTATTAAGGTGAGGCCTTGCTTATATCTTTATTGATTAATTTATATAAGTAATTACATATCAACTAT